TACTAATAATTGACAGAATTTTCGGTTTCGGCCAAGAAATTTAATTTTGAACAATATCGGCAAAAAGTTCATATTAGACACCTTGGACCAATCAGCTGTTTGGGTTTCATTATACATTCGTTTGTTAAACCTCCACACTCTTACCCCGAGCACCTGTGGTTGAGCTTTGTTGAACTTTCTGATGCCCACGTACTGCTGCTCCTGGGCAGTGCCAGCAGCAGCGTCAGGTGCACGGTGAACCTGGGTGACAACCACCACCCCCCCCACTGTGGTAGCTACAGATGAAGACATGTTTCAGCTCCAAAGATCTTTGACTCCTCTGGACCTGCAGGAGGACCAAAGTGAAGACAGTCAGTCCAGACCAGCAAAGTTCAGATCAACTGGTCCAAAGTCTGGCTCATTGGCTCAGCCCAACCACATGACAGAGATCGACGTGGCCCACAGGTGAGGAGTGGGCCAGTTATCAATGGTTTCTCTTTGATCAGAGTGAATATGACAACTACAACACCGAAAGGACGTGTGACCAAATGATCATGTGACCTGGTGACCACTCAGCAGACAGGAGCCACTTACACAGGTAGGTTTGTGTGTGTGAGCAACATGATGTAAATGGTCTAATAATAATAACAACTATATTCATCATAATAAAAGAGACAGAAAAATATATGAAGACAGTCCTTTCCCATTTGGTTTCAGAACAGACTGGACTGGTCAAGAACAAACAGAACCAGAACAGACCACATTATACCAGACTGAACCAGATCAGAACTCCTCTAACAGACTGTTGTTTCCCCTTCTGATTACTGACAACCTCAGGTTAGTAAAGATCTCAGATCACAGCGCCATCAGTTTTCTACTCAAAGTCTTCAGCCTTTGGTTTGGATCCAAGTTCTACCAGTAAAAAGTTATAACGTCATCTCATGAACTCGGATTCCCCCCCCCTTCCTGTTTCCTCACAAACATTTCCTCAATGAGGGACAAAACCAAGATTTCAAAAGACGTAAGTTCATGTTAACAAAATGTTTTTTGTTTGTTTTTTACATTTGTGTTTGTGTGAAGTGGATTGGTGTCTCTTCTGTGCGCAGCTATGAAAACTTAGACTGCGACTATACACGAGGCTCACACGACCAATTAACCATCATAAGTCCTTTGCATTCTTTTTGTTTCAGTTGTTTAAGTTTTAAACTTTTTATTCGTTTTGTTTATTAGGGTATAAAATGGAAAAGGTCATTTTAGGTAACAACGAATGACACCTTACCAGTAACCGTGTAGTTCAAACTCAGCAGCAGATAAAGAGGGTACAAGTTATTGAGTTTTGAATATTTGCGGCTTTATTTTAAAGGTCCCGCTCCAGGTTACATCAAGTTTTCTGGTCAAATTCACTTTGTTTGAATGCATTAATTTAATTAATTGATTTTTTCAATAGCGTGTTTTTTTTAATGTGACGTCACCGAGCAGAACTTTAAACACTCAAATGTGAAACGGGAAAAAAAAAGAATTGTTCTTCTACCCTCTTGGCGTTGAAGAGAGGAACTGTGACTAATGATACACCTTAGTGCTAACGGTTCAAAGTAAACACTGTTTCACGTACTACAACAGACAGTTGCAGTTGTCTGAGGGCGTGGCTCTGACAGTAGCTGTGATACACAAAGCTGCCTGCAGAGGGCACTAAAGGTCGACACACATTTGAAGGCGACTTCAGTCATTGACCGAAAGTTTAGAATGCATCTTTCCCTGTTTTGCCACTTGTTACTGTCATCCACATCATCATCATCATCGACGTCCTTAAACGTTAGAAGACTCTACTCTACACATAGGCAGGCTGTTATCTTCAAGAACCTTTGACAACACCAGTATTAGGGCCATGATATTCTGGACTGGCCATCATGGCTCCAGCAGAAAAAGTGAATCAGGACACAAATACACACACCTTGCTATTTCAGTGACGTGCGGTCAGGGGAGACAGTGCCTCACCTGCCATCATGATAAAAAAAACCGGTACATATAATAAATATTAATATTTTCCACTGGTCTATGTTAATGATGCATTTCCAGTATGACCCTACATATTTTGACATTACAAGTCGAAAAAAAAAAACAAAACAGGAAAGATGCATTCTAAACTTTCGGTCAATGACTGAAGTCGCCTTCAAATGTGTGTCGACCTCTAGTGCCCTCTGCAGGCAGCTTTGTGCATCACAGCTACTGTCAAAGCCACGCCCTCAACCCCAACTGTCAGTTGTACGTGAAACAGTGTATAAATTGAACCGTTAGCACTGAAGTCTTAGCTGTAATCATTCGTCACAGTCCGCTGCCTTCAACGCCAGGAGGGTCCGTTCAGGTGAGAACAATTCTTTTCATTTTGTTCTCACTGAATGTTTCACATTTGAGTGTTTCAGTTCTGCTCGGTGACGTCACGTTTTAAAAGACGCTGTTAAAAACATAGTTTAATTAATTTATTAATTCAAACAAAGTGAACTAGAAAACTCGATGTAACCTGAGCGGGACCTTTAAAATGAAGCCGTAAATCATTAAAAACTCAGTAACTTGTACCCTCCGTGTCTGCTGTTGAATTTGAATTCTTTGAACTTTACGCGGTTACTGGTAAGTAAACAAAACAAATAAAAAAGTTTAAAACTTTAACTTAAACAGAATGCAAAGGACTTATGATGGTAAATTGGTCACGTGACCCTCGTTTATCGTCGCAGTCCAAGTCTTCATAGCTGCGTACAGAAGAGACCCCAATCCACTTCCCCATATCACACACACACTCAAGGTAAAAACAAAAAAACAAACAAACAAAAAAAAAAAAAAACAAAATTGGAAAAATACATTTTGTTAACATGAACTTACGTCTTTTGAAATCTTGGTTTTGTCCCACATTGAGCAATCTGTGAGGAAACAGGAAGAGGGTTCATGAGATGACGTTATAACTTTTTACTGGTAGAACTTGGATCCAAACCAAAGGCTGAAAACTTTGAGTAGAAAACTGATGGCGCTGTGATCTGAGATCTTTACTAACCTGAGGTTGTCAGTAATCAGAAGGGGAAACAACAGTCTGTTAGAGGAGTTCTGATCTGGTTCAGTCTGGTATAATGTGGTCTGTTCTGGTTCTGTTTGTTCTTGACCAGTCCAGTCTGTTCTGAAACCAAATGGGAAAGGACTGTCTTCATATATTTTTCTGTCTCTTTTATTATGATGAATATAGTTGTTATTATTATTAGACCATTTACATCATTGATAACTGGCCCACTCCTCACCTGTGGGCCACGTCGATCTCTGTCATGTGGTTGGGCTGAGCCAATGAGCCAGACTTTGGACCAGTTGATCTGAACTTTGCTGGTCTGGACTGACTGTCTTCACTTTGGTCCTCCTGCAGGTCCAGAGGAGTCAAAGATCTTTGGAGCTGAAACATGTCTTCATCTGTAGCTACCACAGTGGGGGGGGTGGTGGTTGTCACCCAGGTTCACCGTGCACCTGACGCTGCTGCTGGCACTGCCCAGGAGCAGCAGTACGTGGGCATCAGAAAGTTCAACAAAGGTCGACCACAGGTGCTCGGGGTAAGAGTGTGGAGGTTTAACAAACGAATGTATAATGAAACCCAAACAGCTAATTGGTCCGATATTGTTCAAACACTTTGTGCAGCATTTAAAGTAATCAAAAATTAATTGTGTAGGACAGTCTAATATAATGACAACTGCTCATTTCTATTAGGTACAAACATCGTTTTAGGAATGAGGAAATGTGTGTTTGCATATCAGATTATTTTCTTTTTAATAAATATTTCAGTTGCTTTTATGTGTAATGACGATGTAATCATTATTTAGTAGGATGGAACAAAACACGTGTCTTTTTAAGCTTTTAGTGCTCATTTGGGATTGAACCAGTTGTCAGTGATTCAATCATGCTCCTGAGAGGTTGATGTGGCTTCAGTTGTCCACAAGATGTCACCGTCACTGAAGCCTTGAAGCTTTGAATCTCTTTGGGCACAATTGTTAAGAAAGTCTCAGTGCTTCATGCGGCGTCACCTGCCCATCACTAGATTCTAGCATATTTGGCGAAACCCAGGCATGACGTTATCAAGTTTTCATTATCTAAGAAAAAATGGATAACGATTCTTATCTTATATATTATATTATTCTTCATAAATTTGCTGATATTTGGTAAATAACATCACTCAACAGATATTATTATGCCGTGTACAGATGAATATCTTCTCCTCCTCCTCTTCTCAGACCATTCAGATTATGGTGGGCGTGGTGGTCTTGCTGCTGGGGATCATCGTGATACCTTCTGGTTTGACCATTGGAGTTTTCACCGGCTCCTTCGCTTGGGGAGCTGCTCTGGTAATTCACACCCTGCCACCTCATGATCAGAACTGCCCACTGGACTCCAATTACACTGTCTAAACGCTGTCTAAACAATCAGTTACTAAAACTGTCTCCCAGTACTGAATGTGCAGTGAGAACTAGCCTGAGACAGGGGGACAACAAAAAGAACAATTCTTTTTAATTCCATGGATTCTGGTCATATCTTTATGTCGCTGTTAGACTTTAATAGTGGAACGCAGGCATGCTCAAAGTTCGGCCCCCGGACCAAATTTGGCCCGTCTCTAAATTTCCACCGGGCCCGAAGCGTCTGTCATAAAATCAATATCATGTGACCCGCCAGCACGGTTGCCCACATTAATGAATACACGCGTACAAAAAAAACATTTTATATTTCACCAGATGATGGCAGAAGACTTCTGGCCTGCCAGCATGGTTGCCCACATTAAATAATACACAAGTACAAAAAAGCAATTTTATATTTCACCAGAAGATGGCAGTAGACTTGTAGCCTGCATGGATTGCATTGATTTTTTTTTTTGTCATGATCAAAATCATCCATCTATCCGGACAAGATTAGGTGATTCTCTCCTGTGTGACATCTTGCGCATCAAAACCACTATTTTTGAGCATGCCAGACTTGCCTTGTTTACTGCAACGAATATAGAAGTGTATTGCTGCCACACTGAGGGAAGAAAGGGGGACTGTCACGTAATTATGTGATCAATTTATTGTTATATTTATTGTCCTTATGTGTGCCACGGCAGTAAGCGAATGGTCCTGTTTTGGCCAGTTACACAGTCTGCTTTAAGCCACTCAGGCTGAATAAATGAATGAATGAATGAAAGTCCACCTGCTAGGTAAGAATATGGCTCATTTACACAATTCAGTTGAATTATACTTTACGCTTGGCTTGAGACATGGTGAGATTGTACACTTATTGGGCCCAGTGGATGAAATTTATATCATTATTCGTACTCTCAGAAGGATTTTGAAACACGCAGATTTTTAAAGCAGTAACTGGCCAAAACCAGTCCATTCGCTTACGGCCGCGTCACACATATTGGCTTCCGAATATTGTTATAACAATAAACGTATCATGTAATAACATGAAACTTATCCAAAGAAAAGGTGAAACTAAACCCATAATTACGTGATACTGAACCCACTTATTACGTAATAACCTGAAACGCATCACGTAATAACGTGAACCTTATCACATAATTATAGGGATACTGAGTCTCTTTTTTTCTCTGTGTGGCAGCAATACGCTTCCGTAATGTCATGATCAAAATCATCCATCTATCCATCTTCGTCCACTTAAAAACTTTGGTATGTGAGCTAAAATCACTGATTTTTTCTATGGACTTTGGTCTATGAGCTAAAATCACTGATTTTTTCTATGGACTTTGGTCTATGAGCTAAAATCACTGATTTTTTCTATGGACTTTGGTCTAGAGCTAAAATCACTGATTTTTCTCTATGGACTTTGGTCTGATCTAAAATCACTGATTTTCTCTAGGGACTTTGGTCTAGAGCTAAAATCACTGATTTTCCCTATGGACTCTGGTCTAGAGCTAAAATCACTGATTTTCCCTATGGACTTTGGCCTGTTAGCTAAAATCACTGATTTTTCTCTATGGACTTTGGTGACAGAATTCAAGCCATAATGACAAAAATGACGAAAATGGTCTCCAGTCACTTTCAGAGTTTCTTGTGGTCACTCTGTGATCTGACCCAGCTCTACAACCCAGAGTGTCCAGTCCAGTCCATCCAGTGTTCTAGAATGTTGGTTTCTCTCTCTGTTTCAGTACATCGCTGCTGGATCTCTGACTGTAGCTGCTGGGACTCGACTGACCAGCTGTCTGGTTAGTTTCACACCAGAACTCAGTGAGGAGATGCTGGAAGAAGAGTTTGACTGGTCACCTGACTGCTGTCTCTCTGCTGCCCCCACAGGTGAAAGCTGCCCTGATTGTCAGTGTGATAGCATCAGTTGCTGCCACCATCAGCACCATCATGTACATCATGGATGCCGTTATTATTCTTGGTTACGGCCGCTACACGTACCAGGTACCAGGTGCTCAGAAGCAGAACTGGGTTTTCTGTCTCACTGCTGACATGATCGTGTGTGTGTATGTGAAGAAACTGGAAACCCAGGAAAAGGATAAACGTTTTTTGTTCACATCACAAAAGAGTAAAAGGAATGTCTCTGAGGACAGACGTCACTCTTATTTATAGCATAAATTATGTCTTTGTCCCCTGTCTCCCGTGTCTCTGCCCAGAGTCGAATGCGGGGCGTCTCAGGCGTCCTTGCAGTTTTTAGTTTTCTGGAGCTGATTGTTGCCATCACTGTGGCAGGTTACGCCTGTAACGCCATCTGCTGCTGTAATGACGTAAGTGATCACTGATGAGTACGACTGTGATTATTTGAGCAGTTCCGTCTGTGTACACGTAGTATTACAGCCCCAAACTTTAATAATGAAATAAATACTGAACATATCTGCTGCTGTAATGACGTAAGTGATCACTGATGAGTATGACTGTGATCAGAAGGAGTTTGTTTGTACATAAAAAATATATATAAATGAGGAACAGGTGTGTATTTGTGCCGAGCAGTTCCGTCTGTGTACACGTAGTATTACAGCCCAAACTTTAATAATGAAATAAATACTGAACATCATGGTGCGTCTTGTGAACTCACAGACTCCACTGTTGATAGTGGGGCCTTTTTTTAAACTGCTTTTTTTTTATTCTTCTGAGAGATAAATCAGTGTGTGTTTGTGTGTGTGTTCCAGCCTACAACAGTTCTGGTTGTACCTGCAGCAGCTGTGGCCTCTGGTGAATCTGCTGATGTGAACATGGAGCAGGTCAGTTCAACTTTGTGTTGTCAGTGAGGCCATAACATGACCATCACAGGGGGTGATGGACCATAGAGAAAGTCCACCATAGTCCATAGAGAAAATCAGTGATTTCACCTCACAGGTACACAGTAGCTGCTGGTCCTCTACTGCCTCCTGTGGTCTGTTTGTGTGACATGGTTTAATCGGAACAATGTGTTACAAACAGTGAAGTCGCAGAGAAACACATTTTGAACTTAGTGATGGAGGCAGCAGTTGATCAACAACTGCTGAGTCTGAGAGAGAAAACCACTAGTTCTCTCTTTAATGGGAATCAAATTAATAAACCCGTTCTTGAGAAAGGCGAGCCCCTCCATCTGTCAGGCTGTGGTCACATGGTGTACACACACAGACTTTTAACATTTTGCTGTCGTGTTATTACAGGTGCAGTTTTTCAAAAGCTCAGAAGAAGATGAGACCATGGCTCAACCTCCACCTTATTCAACTGTGTGATCACCTGACCTGACTGCACCGATCTGACCATCAGACAACACCAAGATTCTCTTCACATGTCCACCTTCACTGTTATCATTTCATGTTGTTCATCAACAGAGTCAGAACTAACACCAAACTCACTAACCTAACATTTTTTCTCGTATTAAATGTTTCTATGAACACAGCACTCAATGTTTATCTGTTTTTGGAACCAGCAGCCAGAGAAAACATCCACTTAAACTGGTATGATTGCAGGCTGGTTCTTCAGAGAGCACCAGGGTTTTCATACTCCAGAACGGAACCAGAGCCAGAACAAGAATTATGTCTGTTTGAAAACACTGTGAGATTTATATCAGATCCTTTGAAGTAAGTTTTGCTTCAAATGCACCATTTTGTGCCACTGTTGTTAAAGACAAAAGTTTCAGTTCAAAGTTTTTGACAGATTTTCTAGGTTACGTTTCTAAAGAAGGCTCATTGAAGGATTTGATTTAACATAGAAACCATTTTATTGGTCGGTCTGACCTGTTGAGTGTTCTCTTTTTTAAAGACTTTTTTTATACTTTTGTATTTTTTTATATTTTCACATATTTTTATGTACCCTTCATTTCCAACATTTCTTGTGATTAAAGCAAAGACAAACCATAGTATGTGTGTTTTAATCCATTTTTTTTTTTGACCAAACATTATCACATCACAGGAAGGAAAAAGGCTGAAATTTTCAGACTGTTGTTGTCAGGTTGATGCCTGGCAATTAAATTAAAGCAGTCTGGTTCCTGTCTTGGATGAAAATTTCAGAGAAAAGTCCAATCATGAGGTTGTACATGTTCAACAGCCTCCTCCAGTCTTCAAGTCCAATACTTGTTTCCACAACAGTTTATCTTCCAGTTGTCAACTTTTTTATTTCATCTGACTGACTTCAACTGACACCTCCCTTGTTCAGACCATCATGCTTTACTCTCTGTACATATATGTTTCTGTGACAACCTGTCTGTTGTGTTAACCCCATCCCTGTGGACAGTCAGAGTTGCGGAGTTGAGGTTGATGCTCTTTACTTCTTCTTCTTAAACCTGACCAACAGACAAGATTACAGCGTCAGTCGTGGAGGGTCGAAGTTCAACAAACATTCAAATGGTGACCAGGAAACTTTTGTCAGTTTATGACGTCCCCCACTTACGATGTTCGTGGTTACATCATCATCTCCCATCAATTCATTAAGAAAGTCTGGTTACATCATGCCAATGACCTGCCAACTGTCAAAATGTGCAACGCGTTTGCACGATAACTAATTGGCGAGCAGCGTAAAGGGCTTTATTTTCTTATTTTGCTGATTGTATTCAGAATATATATATATATTTATATACATACATATATATATATATATATACATATATATACATATATATACATACATATACATATATACATACATATATACATACATACATATATATATATATACATACATATATATACATACATATATATATACATACATA